CTTTTGAAATTTCATTTCTGCTTCACTTGGGCTATAAACTTTTTTTTCCTCCCGTGTATATAGGTCTGGGGAGGAAAGGATGGGCCCTACGAGTTTAAACCTGCTCCACAGTCGAGTTATAGCGATCCATTTTCGTCATTAACTTTTCCACCGCAATTCATGGAGAAAAGGATAGATGGTTCGTTTGTTCTCCAAGAATGAGTACTTTTTATTGTTTCATCCATCACATTTGTAATATAGCAAGACCTTTGCAGATTACATCATCTTAATCTTGTTTCCTTTTGCTCCCAATTTTGTACTGTAAATAATCTCCTGATTGTTTTTTGTTGAAGTATAAATTAGTAGGTGCAATGGGGTTCTTGAGTATTTAGTAATATTATCACTGTACTAAGCCTAGTTGTTAGGCGTCACGACTTTTGCCTTAGTCAGTCATTGTAGGTGCTCCAACAATTAGGCGGTGCTTAGGCGGAGCCTAGGATACTATGCAGCTGTGAAGTAACTTGCGCCTAAGCGGTCTTCGTGTCGTGTAGCAGTGTAGGTGCCTGTAATTTATTTATTTTTTAAAAAAAAAAAATAATTTACTTCTAAAAAATAAAAAAATAATTTCACACATGAAAGTTATATTAATTACGCAGTGAAAATATTGATAATTATTTCACAATTGATACTATAATTATGCATGCATTATATTTTGTATAATCTTTGTATTCGATCATATTAATTAATATATTTTATGCAATATATCTTTTAAATTATTGTATAATGACAAATATAAATAAATTTATTAATATTTTCTCGACCCAACTTAGGTGCCGCCTAGATGCTAGTTTCCAGTCCACCACCTAACGAGCGTCTTTCATAATGTTGACAATTATCATTAAGACCAAATATGCTTTACGGTTACCGGTCTGATTTATTTAGCATTTATGGCATGATTGGTATAATAGAATGAAAATTGATAAGAATAGAATGGGTTGAAGAATGAATATAATTATGAAAAATGAATGAAACAAGTTGTTCCATTGATGTGTTTGGTATGCAGAAGAAATAAAACTTGAATGGAATAACATTATCATCCTATATTTTATATAAAAAATAATATTTATATTGATGTTATTTTCTTATTTATATAATATTAAAAGTATTTTATTTTAAAAATACTATATACTAATAAATATATTTTTGTATTCTTACACTCATCTCTTATAATAAATAAATGAACTATTTATCTATAGACATATTAACTAATACAAATATATCATTACAATGAACTCTAAAAGCTTATGTGGTTGGATATAAATTTTTATAATATAATTCAATTTATGAGTAAATATATAATATATGAGATTACATACAAATAAATAAGATCTTTCTAAACTATGTATAAATGCATTTTTTTCTGGGCTTAATTTTTATATGTAACTAATTAAAATATGAATAATAAATAAAAATAAAATTGTTTTTAATTATTTAATTGAAAGTTGTTTTTTAAAATGATTTTATTTAGTATAATTTAATTATGATTTTTAGTATATAATATATTTTTTTTAATGTTTGTTAATTTTATTTTTTGAAAAACTGAATTCGAAAGATACGAGAATGAGACAACAATGCATCAGCTATGAAATATCTAATTTTATGAAGATGAGTTTTGCAATTACCATTTGAATAGTCGTTAATTTCTAAAAAATAAACCAATCAAGAATTAAGAATGAATATAGCTGTTTCATAGCTATCAGTCTTAATAGTCTTTTCATTGACCAGAGAAGTGAATTATCATTTCATTCTCATATTGATTCTATCATAACAGTCATACTAAATCTAGACCACAAAGCTTAACTTTTGACTGTTCTATCATAAGTCATAACAATCATACTAATGCATACATTAGAAATTTATGTTTAACTAACTATTGCAGTCAAAGTAAACAATCGCAAACGGAAGCCAAGGACCATGACTAGTTCAGTGAGTGCATGTAATAGGCGGATACATAATCTTGGTCAATAGTGCCGACGGCTAATTACGAGTTCCCCGTTCAATAATAAGTCGAGCGTACATTAGAAATTTATGTTTTTATTTCTTTTTTACTTTTTATTTTGGCAAAAATAGGAGTGTTAAATATGAAGTTTATGAAATTGTCTAAGGTCAATTTATTGTTCTTAATTCTTTAGGTTAATTCTCAATTTNAATTGAAATATTAGTTTTATTAATAATCTAACTATATAATAAAGTAAAAAAATGATTTTTAAGATATAATTTTCAGTTTCATTTTCTATTACTTCACTTTTTAATTTTCTCTTTTTATTATTGATTTTGATACATTTTTTAATTTTATTACATATTTAGATTATTAATCAAAGTAATATTTAAACTATCTATTTTTATATTGTCTTATCATTTTTTTTTTAAATAAAATTTATTAGACTTTTGCATAAATATAAATTATATAGATTAATTTCTTGATTTAAGTTATTTGTTAAATATAATTAATATTTTTTTCATAAATATGTAAAATATAGATTATGAAAAATATTATGGTTCACATATTTATGTCAAAAGTAAAGTTAATTGTAATAATTTTACTTTCTTATTAATAATATTTATTATCGTTTAAAAAAAGAATCTAACTGATATTTTAATTCAATGGTTAAATCTAATCTTTAGGGATAATTAACGTGAAAAATATTTTAAAAATATTCCATCTAAAAAATATTTCTTCATGGATAATAATAAATAAAAAACATATAAATCAATTCATAATTTGATAAAGATCTACCAAATAATTACGTTTGAGGTCATCGGTCTTCTTTAGATTCCCAAGTCGACTTAACTTGCTCACCGGAGTACCTGAAAAAGTGTCGAAAGAGTTCTTATGTAAATTCTCTGACTATTAAGTCAGTTTTTTCTCTATATAGAAAGATGATATGTGAATGTAATTAATTAAGCTTGATAACGAGTAAAAAAAAAACATACCTTTTTATTGCTAAACCTCAATCCTTATATAAGAAAGTAATTACTAGCTTCTCAAGAATGAGTTGCTGACAAAGAATATGTGAACACCCAGATTTCTCACTATTATGGAAGAAGTTTTATGTTCCAATTAGATGAGTTAGCCTAAGTTAATAAGATAAATAGTTGACCATCATAATTAATGATTGCGTGTGCAGTCGGTGGGAGGAGAGGGGTCGTCCTCCCGCTTCCGGTCTTGCTTTAAGGGCAGTCCGTTTGGGAGAAGATTTTTTGTCGTCTGGTGCGGTTCTAGCTAGTCGTGGCTTCACTGGAGTTTCTAGAGCAGTGCTCGAGCCGAAGTTCTATTCGATTGGGTGGTTGTCTTTGGGTGTCGGGATGCGGTGTGTTGTTGATTGTCTGGCCTGTGGAGAGGAGGGTGTTATTCTATCTATTTTGTGTTCTGTATTGTTTTGTTGGTGTTTGTTGTTGTGTTGTAGTGTTTTTCTTGTTGTAGCTGCTTATTCTCTTCTTGTAGGAGTTGTATGGCAAAATTACAAAAGTGATACACTAAGTTGGACGTTGTTAACAAAAGAAACAATTTATTGTCCCTCACTGGAAAAGATACACTTAGTTGACTTTTTGCAAGAAAAAGATACAAATTTACAAAAACGATACACTAAGTCAGACATAAACTAAGTGTATCTTTGTAAATTTATATCTTTTTCGTGGACAAAGCCAACTAAGTGTATCTTTTCCGTGAGGGACACTAAATTGTCTCTTTTGTTGACAACGCCCAATTTAATGTATCATTTTTGTAATTTTGCCTGAGTTGTATTGTCCCTTTTTGATATTTGTTTAGTGTGTTAAGTTGTTTGTCTTGTAGGTGAGTTAGAGTAGTTCCTAGACGCCAGCTGCAAGGTAGTCTCCCGTAGATTCAGCTAGATGATTGTTTGACTATTTCTAGTTGTTGTCTAGTTGTTGTTATGTTTTTTAATCTAT